ACGTTACAACTATCCCCGCTCTCCCCTATATTGTAAGTGCTAAAACGTTAACTTGAATAGAATCTGCTTAAATGAAATTTACTTGATTGTATAAATCAAGTTTATACTTAATGATTCATGATTTTAATAAAAAAAAAAACCTTTGATGTTATAAATTTCAGTAGCATTTTACTGAAACTCGTTGCTTTGTGTGTGTAGGTTGCTCTGTGGAGATTTATTCCTGTCATGCTCTTTACCTTCTTTTTACAATATCTGGCAGTGTAACATGAGCATCACTGGCGCACAGCTGGTGTTCTGTGGGCCTTGGTGGACTCATGCTTTTGCTGTGCTCCTTTTTTTTTGCAATCATGAACTCAGAGCAGGTGAAGATTGCGCGGAAATCACAGAGATAAAGTCTGGACTCCATCACAGCACCGAGGTGGTCTCTTTTATTACACGACAAACAGCTCCTGAGGAGTAACGTGTGCGGACACACACGCACTCGGGGGCTTGATTCTCCGTGTTGGAACACAGCTCAGTTTCCGAGCCTCCTCCTTTTGCGCGCTAAGCTCCGAGAAGGCGTGTCCAGTGACGTCTCCGAATGGGACAAACCTTAAACGTGGGATTTTGTGGGCTGGATAGGGATTGAGTGGAAATATTATTGACACACCATCAAGGAAAAAGTTCGTGGAGGAATAACGCGGAGGAATAAGAGCCGAGGTGAACGTGCCGCGTAGTTTATAGTTTCACTTTTACGCTTTCGTTTATTGAGTGTTTGCGGCGACTTTGACGTTTAACCCAAAGAAGTAAAGCGGCAGAAACAGCAGCTGATATGTTCCCGTGACAGGTTCGTGAAATGGAGAAAAGTAAGATGTGATTTCTTTTCCACTGAGATGAGCAGAGAGTGACCGCAGCGCGGCAGGGGGGAGTGAAACTGACCGGATCGTTCCCAGTGTAACAGGTGCAGCTCTGCTCGGTTCAACAGTCAATTCTGATTGTGCTCTAACCGATCAACTTTACCGATCTCAGAGAGTTCATGGTTTGACTGACATGGGTAAAACTGCTGTGACAGACTTTCTGCCAATAAAGGCAAAAGGTTCAGTTAAGCTTAAATTTACTGAGTAGGAGATGTGTAAGCATAAAATATCTCGTTTTATTGCTCTCAACCATAAAATATGCTTTTGTAATTATGAGGCGTGCAGTGTAACATTTACTGTCACATTACAGTAAATGTAGTTTGCTCAGTTGTTAGGGAAAAACTGACATTTTTCTGAAAAGGTTTGGTCTTTGGTTGCGGACTGTATTGGCTCACAGCACAGAGGTTGGTATAGATTACATAAAATAAAAAAAGTTGAATTAGGAGAAAAATCATACCACTTAACCTTTTGGGTTTCTATTAGTTTAATGTGGCTCCGATAGGAAGAAGCCAGGCTTTTTCACGCAGTCAGTGAAGAGAAGTTGAGACTTTTGTCATCACCAGCAAAAATTAAGTTTTTTTTTTTTTGTTTTAATTTTCTAAAACTTTCCCAGACACATCAAATAATAAAAAGACTGGAGCTGTAAAGGCTCCTGCTGATGTTTTGTGCCCAATTTCAGTATCTTATTCAATGAAATGTTTTAATTGCGAGTCCTTGTATTTGTCAGAATTTGTATTCAACCTGTAAAGGACAAAAAATTCAACAAAAGCCCCCAAAACAAAATAAAGGAAGCAGGTATATATATATACACAAATAGGCAAAAAATAGTTATTATTTTTCATTAGATTTTGCCATTCTAGTTCCATCTTTTAAAAACACAATTCTAAAGAGGATTCTGGTTTAATTTGTCCTTCTTCACAGTTGGACTGCATTCAGTTTAAATCTTAAATCTTCCTCTGTGCAGCTAAAATGTATATATTTAAAAAAAACGGTGGTTGTGAATCAACCCAGTCACATCAGTTAATCAAACATCTCCTACATAAAATAATGACGATGTTCTTAGACTCATCCTGCAGATGCCTGATACGTGTGTGTGTGTCTGTGTGTTCTGAACCTTAAATGTGGTTTTGCTGTATTTTCAAGTTTCCCTTTTTTTAATCCTGTCCTCTCAGGAGCGTGCATTAAAGACGTTCCTCCATGTCTTATTACAGCATTGCTGTGGTTTTTATGTGAGGATTTGCACTCTAATCTTTAGACGGCCCTGCCGATTAGTTTATCACATCAACAAAACTGACAATCTGCTTGTGTTCTTCAGGCCACACAGTGGATGTAAGCCTGGCAGCCTCCTCTCCGCAGCCTTGAGACTGCTCACAGTGTAATTATAATCTGACTGTTACTGTAAATACCAGATTCCTTTTCCACTCGCGAATAACTTAGCTGTGTGGGAGATGAAAATATGCACGTGTGTGTGTGTGTGTGTGTGTGTGTGGAGGGGAGGATGGAGGGAAGTCCTGCCGTTACTAGAAATAAGATTTCAGGCTTGGTGTACATCCCCTTCCGATCTCCGGTTTTCATTCCCATTGAAAAGAATTCCACAGTTTGTCAACGAAAACTCTTCAAGGTCACTCTGCTCCCCTCAACCCCCACCTCCTCCCAGTGCAGCCCACAGGTCGTCCGTCACCCGATATACACGAGAACACTATGTGACCAAAACATGGCACTAGTGAGCCCATAAGAGGTGTGCTGCAGTCTTCTCCCTGCAGGCAGGTGTAGCACCAGTAAGAGGACTGTGTGCCGTGCTTTGTAGCGCGGCACGGAGAGAAGAAGATCGGAGTGGGATCAAACTGCACATGTTCATAATGCTCGATAATGATTCCTTTCAGACAGCCTAATTTTCCTCAGTGTGTATTTCTGCATGAAGCAGATTGTGGACAGGAAGAATCCAAAGCAAGGAAGAAGAGCACTGTTTTAGATGTATAAAATAACAGTAAAGCAAAATACTGCATTGTCACGTTACAACTTTTGTAAAGGTATACACCACACACATTTGGGTCATAGTCGTGCACTAATTTAAAGAAGACTGCACTGCAGATTTAAATAGTGCACACTCCAAAACTTGTATTTTTCACGAGGCGGCGGCTTTTTCAGCATCTTTAAGGCTCACTCAGTGTGCTGGACTATTACCCGCCCTCTCCTTGTGTTTGCTTCCTCTCCCTTTTCTTTGCTCTCTCTCCTTCCTCCTTCACTCATCCTCTCCCTCTCTCAGGTGTGGCAAGTGAGAGCGCTTAGTCATAGCTTTGTCCTTTATTTAACGGAGGACTTGTGTTCTAGAATCTGGCTTCTTTATTAGGATTTACTTGTGATTTAGCTTTTCTTATTGTGTTGCTCTTAGGAGGGAAACAAGTCTTGTTGGCAGTTTGAACCTTGGGCGTGGCATCCTCTTTATGGATGTACTTGGTATGAACAGTGTTACTGCTGATGGTTTGATCATCAGCCGATCTGCTGGTGATTGTTTGTTGGCTTGTGGAGGCGCTATCACATGTTATTTTTTTATACATCAAAGAATGAAAGAATTGATTCATTAGCTGGAGTTTAAACTGACATTAGGGTTATTTTTTCTTGTTTTCTCTTTTTTCGCCATCTTTTGGAATATTTTAGCTTTGATGAATGTTTGATGACATGCTTTGAGATATATTTGAGACTAAAGAACAGTATTGGTGGATATAAACCTGCGTGTGTGTGTGTGTGTGTGTGTGTGTGTGTGGGTGCAGATTGTTTTAAATGTATTTATTATTTAATATATTTTATAGGTGGAAACTTACAGGAATTGTTGATTTAGCATTTAGAATTTTTGTAGCTCGCCCAGGATTTCAAATGCATCCAGCTAAACTACGTCTTGAAAAGGTGGATGATTTGATGATCTTATATTACAGATGATCGTAATTTGGCTCATAATCTGCTTTTCAGAAAAATTCTTATGAAACAATTAAACAGATTAAACAAAAGCATGAGGAGATTTGGATCACGCTCAGCGAATGTCACCTTGTACACCACGGAGGTGTAACTTGTTGTGTAAAGAGAACACAGCATAGCAGCCAGGAATAGCACGGTTCTCCCATCATATGAGCCATGCGAGTTGTCACTTCCAGTTAGAACTTGAATCAAAGCAAAAGCAGGTTGCACATATTTTTGAGTTGGCCCTTTTAGCATTTAGTTGAAGTGACCAGCATTGTATCCAGGCAACCATATGAAAAACCACTCATGTGATTACCTGACTTCAACTAAATCTGTGGGGAAAATTGTGAATCACAGTGCGATTCCATCCCCAAAAAGAGAAAGCTGACTGCTTCGAAACGAAGCACAGCGCCACTGTGTCAGTAAACCTCCTCATCATTGGCACATTTATAACTGGTGCACAGAGTTTAGCTGAGGTTTCCAGGTTGAACAGCATTGTTTAACTGAAACAACAGACTTTAAGTAGCTTTGCTCATTTTTTGCTGGAAATATATGTGTTAGAAGCAACTTGGCACCTTAATATGGCACTGAACACAACGAATGGGTTTTGTTAGACGTCGGTACCTCAGGTAAAAAGTTTGACCTAATTCTGCAACAATCAAAGTAATGGTAAATAATCCATATTTTGAAAAGGTTAACTTGTTAGTTGTTAGTTTACTAGTTGTTAATTTTTAGCTGCTTCCCATTTACATTTAACAAAATAAGTATAATAAGTTTAAGAGGTTTTATTCATTTTATCAATTATTTAGATCATTCCTTTATGCCCTGTGAAGGTAAAATATATTTTAAAAATACTGGTATACAAAGGATACAACAAACATCACAGTGACTGAGAACCTTCACAGACAAACATCACAATACATCTAAATAATTTCATTACTATAGAAGAAGAGTGTTATAGGAGTCTTATAAACTTTGGGTAAAGTGTGGTATAAAAACAAAAATAAAACAAAGATATTAAACACAGAGCGCTCACTGTGAAAGAAAGAAAGACTGGCTGCAACAAAAGTAACACGTTTGAATAAGTTATTGTTGTTATATTATTATTGTTAAAGTTTATCATCTTGGGCGTATTTGCCTGCAGCCGGCATCTAAAGTTCAAAGCTGCTCTCCTTCACTTTGCAGTTCAGGCTATAAACAGCTGCTGATGCCTGAGACGGTCTCGTTCGGCTCTGCTCTGGATTTAATTCAGTTTGCTCGGATTGGTTCTTGTCACTCTGGACTCTGTCTGACTCTTTGATACATATATTTGTATCTGAGTGTTGATGTTTTTTGACAACCTGACTTGGAGTAGGTGTATCTGATGACTTATGGTCATGCACTGGTGCGTGCGTTTATGACTTATTGTGCTGTTACTGGTGCTGCTGGGTGCTGCATTATTTTCACAGTTCACATTTGTAATGATTTCCGTTGGATTCGTGTGGTAAATGTAATCAGAAAAGTTATTGGTAACGTTATCGCAGATATTTTAATCACACGGATGCATCCATGTGCAGTTTTGCTTAATTAAAAAGAGAACTTCACAGTGTTTGCTTACTCTAAAATTATCTTACATTTCCAGCCAATTATCAGCATCCTCAGCTACTTTGACTATCGATTACGTTGGAGATCAGTGACCCTGATGTTCAGAAATATCTTTTAGTTTATACAGTTAAACAGCTGCCATTTATATTCTTTTGTGTTGCCTCTAAAGACTATACAGTGGACACAATGTTAAAGTGAAAGGGGCCCTATTGCGCGGATTTTCTATATTTTTATTATTTGATTCTACTAGTTTTGCATGATTCACAACTGCAAATAATCCTCATGTAATTAAAATGAGCACTGATGTAGTCCTCTCAATGCTATTTCATTCCTTTCCCTTTTATGCCAGCTTTCTCCTGATTGGCTGCCCCTTGCAAGTAAAAGATGTGGC